TGTATTGTATGATTTTCTGAAGTTATGGAGCTTTATTTATATTCCCTTTCCCATATACTATGACTCACAGGAAATCACACTCACTCACACATCCCTCCACAGTGGCTCCAACCCAGTTCTGTGGGCAAGCCAGTGCACATTATAGCTCCTGGCCCTAAGCTCACCTTGAGACTGACCCTTCACCATCTTACAGGACTTGAAAAAAGGAAGGTGGAATTGACTCAGCAGGACTTGCTTTGCTCGAGCCCAATTTCCCCCTTTGGGGTTGCTGCCGTGTCTTGTGTGGAAAGACCTTCAGACTGCAACTCGCCATCCATGCAGCTCTGCGCATATTTACATGGAATCCTACAAACACCAGCAATTTGAGTTAAGTCTCACTGGAATGTGATGGAAGTTGGGAATCCAGTCAATAACATACATACATACATATATATATATATAGATATATTATTAATTAAATACATTAATTAAGTAAATTAATTAATTAAATACATTAAATTAATGAATTAAATACATTAATTAATTAAAGAACCTTTTAATGAGGGTGAAAAGAGGAGAGCGCAAAATATGGTCTGAAGCTCAACATAAAAAACGAAGATCATGGCCACTGGTCCCATCACCTCCTGGCAAATAGAAGGGGAAGAAAATGGAGGCAGGAGAGATTTTACTTTCTTGGGCTCCATGATCACTGCAGATGGTGACAGCAGCCACGAAATTAAAAGACACCTGCTTCTTGGGAGAAGGGCAATGACAGGCCTAGACAGCATCTTGAGAGTAGAGACGTCACCTTGCCAACAAAGGTCTGTATAGTTAAAGCCATGGTTTTCCCAGTAGTGATGTATGGAAGTGAGAGCTGGACCATAAAGAAGGCTGATCGCCGAAGAATTGATGCTTTTGAATTATGGTGCTGGAGAAAGACTCTTGAGAGTCCCATGGACTGCAGAAGATCAAACGCATCCATTCTTAAGGAAATCAGCCCTGAGTGCTCACTGGAAGGACAGATGTGAAGCTGAGGCTCCAGTACTTTGGCCACCTCATGAGAAGAGAAGACTCCCTGGAGAAGACACTGATGCTGGAAAGATGGAGGGCACAAGGAGAAGGGGGCGACAGAGGACGAGATGGTTGGATAGTGTTTTCGAGGTTACCAGCATGAGTTTGACAAACTGCGGGAAGTAGTGGAGGACAGAGGTGCCTGGCGTGCTCTGGTCCATGGGTCACGAAGAGTCGGACACGACTAAACAACTAAACAACAACAACAACAACGAACTATAAGGATATAGAATATATATTACTTTATTAGGCATAGCCAATACCACACAATATATCAAACAAGGGACACTGTATACAAATTTTGCAAAATACGAACATATCAAGGTTTGTCCTGGTCAGATCTTTAACTCCGGAGAAAAAGCAATTTGCATAAATAATACAATACAGTACTACCTAATCCCTATCAATTAAGAACCACTAATCTCTTTATAATGACCCAGTCAATAACATGTGAAACGAGGACAGCTTTTTCATCTCTGCTTTAAATGAACAGCACATTTTTAATAAGCCTTTCTAGGTACACCACATTAGTCAAGTGTGAGTGAGTAAGGTGGCAGTAACCCAATATGGCAGTAATGCTTCTGAATAGCAGTTTGCTGTTAACCTCAGGAGAGGGTTTTTGTGCTGAAGTCCCCATGGGCCTCTGGTTGGCCACTGTAAGAACAGGATGCTGGCCTAGACAGGCCATTGGCCGGTGCAGAAAGGCTCTGCTATGTTCTTATTGCAGAGGCCTCTAAAAAGCCACCCACAACTCCCTGGCTTTGGGCAAACCATGATCTTTCAGCCTACTGTACCTAACAGGTAACCTTGTGTATGGTGCACTGCATATCCTGAGACGTGTATATAAAAGTGATTTGGTGCACGTAACTCAGTTGCGTCTCACCACTGAAAAGGGCATGTGGAGTTAGGTTCCTCCGCAGAGGAACGTCATTCCTCACGCACCAGCTAATGTATCTTCCTCTCCCCCTTTCGACAATCCTTTTGTTCCTGTAATGGAGCAAGTTGCTGCACACGTTCATTTTTTACCTTCCAAAAATGCCCCCTTTTCAGTGTTCCTCGCACGGTGAGGTGACAGATGCTGCACACAAGTAAAGTGTATTGCAATGGAAATGTGAACAAGATTACTGCCTTTGCCCCATATGAAATGCCGTAAATTTTTGGGCCAAAGTAAACTGGTCAGAATTACGCCTCTGTAGTTCACACCAAAGGGAGTGGCTGCTGCACAGCTGGGGAGCTGAGCTAATAATGATGAAAAACAAAACAAGAAAGGGGGGGAGGCTATTATGGCAAGACATAAACTGGGGGAGGGATACATCCCCGCCCCACTTTAGACAAATAAATGGCAAAATGTGGAAGCCATAAACATGAGCTCCAGAAGTATAAAAAATGGGAGCAGGGAGGGGCTGGACAAGTGCTTACCTCACATGTGTTTTCTGAACTATCACATATGAAGGCGATTAAAATGCCTTCAACAAATTGCAGTGATTCTCAAAGTGAGCACCGGGCCTCCTAAGGACGTATGGTTAGTTGCCAAGGGAAGGTGTGAGCAAAACGTAGAGAATACAGGCAGAAGCAGGAGGGAGAAATGTGGACAGGATCAGGCTGCATGACATGCAAAAACACTCGCACAGCAAGATTGCAAGCCCATAAGCATTTGAGTCCTAGTGAGTTCGATGCAGTGCTGGTGAAGTCAAAATGCCCTCTGGGCCTCTCCTTGCCCCACCATTGTGGGTCTCTCTTACTAGAGAACAGCCGTGGGGGGAGAGAGACTATGGGGACGGAGGTGAGCAGCCCTGCACCGAGTAGTGGGCAAAATGGCTGTTGCAGCTGCCACCATCTTCAGAAAGGTACATATATTTCGGCTGTAGGTGACAATATCTGATGTTAAGAGAAGCCCTAGCAAGAGACCCAATTCCTTAGTATGTTAATGGATTCTCCATTACTTTCAAACTCAGGTCTTCAAAACCGAGCCTAGACAGCCGTTTGAATTGGGTTGCCTGCTGTGAGAAGGGAACGCAGGAAGCTGTCTTACTCTGAATCAGACCATCTAGCTCAGTACTGTTTACACTGACTGGCAGCAGCAGGGTCTCTTGCAGGCCTTCCTGCAGACATCAAGGATTGGATCTGGGAATCTTCTGCACGCAAAGCAGTTGCCCTATCACTGAGCGATGACCCTTCCCTTCTAGAGGGTTAGACTACTAGCTCATTGGTATTCAGCTACTGGGTCATGGCCTGATCTAAGGTGGGTTGCAGCAGCAGCAGCAGCACAACAGAAATAGATGGTAAGGAATTAATGAATTCCCAAATGCCAGGCAGGTTCCAGATTGGAAAAGGTTGAAGACTACTGGACTGGTCCTACAAGGCACCAGTACTGTGCCCCTTATGATTAAATGAAATTCAACCAAATACTTTCTTACTGCCTATTAAGGTAAATGGACCCTTGACCATTAGGTCCAGTTGTGACCGACTCTGGGGTTGTGGCGCTCATCTCGCTTTATTGGCCAAGGGAGCCGGCGTACAGCTTCCGGGTCATGTGGCCAGCATGACTAAGCCACTGCTGGCGAACCAGAGCAGCGCACGGAAACGCCGTTTACCTTCCCGCCGGAGCGGTACCTATTTATCTACTTGCACTTTGACGTGCTTTCAAACTGCTAGGTTGGCAGGAGCAGGGACCAAACAACAGGAGCTCACCCCGTCGCGGGGATTCGAACCACCGACCTTCTGATCGGCAAGTCTAGACTCTGTGGTTTAACCCACAGCGCCACCCACGTCCCTTACTGCCTATTATCTTACTGCATAACATCGCAACTGCCTTTTTGCTAATGAAAGCAAACTTCTCCAGAAGTTCCTTCTACTTTTCCCCACAGAAAAGCTGAAGGTGGCATGCTCCTCACTGGGAAGACTTTCACAGAAAAATACGAGCCTCCCCCCCCCCAAAAAAAACCCTCAAGTTAAATCACTGGGACTTTAAAGGAGCATGCCTCACACAAAGACGGAATTAAGAGAGTTCTGCAGACAGAAAGGATGGTAGGACTAAATTAAGGAAATAGGGGCTGGTCTACTGCTGGCATTCCCACCCTTTCCAACACACACCTCCCCTCTGTCACCTTTTCAGACCGCCCCCCCCAACCCCCCCCCCAACTTTTGTTCCTTTGCAAGGCCTTTACAGCCCTATTCTCTGCTTCTCTACTCAGAAGGAAATTCCACTGAATCCAGTGGGGTTTACGCCCAAGAAAGTGTGCACAGGATCGCCATCTTTATTTGTGTTGCCGTTAATGTGTACGCTGTGCACAACCCTGGCAACTGCTTTAAGTATGAGGGCTCAACCCTGAATTGTATGTTGATAAGAAAACGAAACGAAACAAAACAAGGCCCTGGGGAGAGCGCATTCCCCTCCTCCCCGTGCTACCTACAGAGAATCGCATCGCTGACTAGCAGAAACACCTTACAGATCAGAGAACCGTTTCCAGGTATTGCTTAGCAATCAGGTTGCAATCCTATGCCGACTCCCTTGGGATACGCCCCGTTGATGTCAATGGGAATTACTCATGTTAAGTATGAGACTGCACTGTTTAAAAAAAAAAAGGAAAAAGCAACTCTCCCCTGCAGTTCCCCTCGTCTCCTTCTAACGTTGCAATACCACGCGGAGTTAGGTGCATTTCAATCCACGGCTTGCAGTGGGTCCCCAGATGTTGTTGAACTACAACTCCCATCACCCCTAGCTAGCAAGCTCAGGGAAGATGGGAGTTGTAGTCCAACAACATCTCTAGGGACCCACAGGTTGAGGACCGCTAACTCAGCGCTGGACGGAGCTGCGCAGCCTACCCGCCTTCGCTTTTCTTCCCAGCCGCCTCACCCAGAGCGGCAGCTGCGCCTGCGCTTTAACGCAAAGGGCTTCCTCCTCCAATGGAAGCGCGCGGACTTTCCCTGCGACGCGCCGGCGCTGTGCGCCTTGGCCGCCCCTTTTCTCCGGAGGGTTGGCACAGCCATGGCGGCTCCAGCTGCGTTGCAGAGGAGCGTGGTGGCCCCCGCGGGGAGACACACGGCTTCCGTCATCTTCCTCCACGGCTCAGGTGGATGAGTCCGACCGCAGAGCCGGTCTACAGGGGGCGCCACCGCGGAAGCCTCCCCAAGCTTCGCCAATAAGGGAGTGGGCGGTTGCGGTGCCATTTCACAGCAAAGGCGCACAGAAAGGGGCGTAGGGAGTTTTCTATATACTGGCTTTTGTTCCTTCTTTGTGCAAGGAATCATGCAGTTGTAGAGTTTGAAGGGACCCCGAGAGTCATCTAGTCCAACCCTCTGCAATGCAGGAATCTCAAGAAGCATCCATGGCAGATGGCCGTCCAGCCTTTGCTTAAAAACCTCTCGCCAGCTCCCAAGGGAGTGTCCACAGCTCTTCCTTGAAAAGAAAGGTTTCAGAAGTTCAAGCCAGCCGGAAAGGTGGTCTCAATCCTGGATGAATTTGCAGAGATGCGGATGCCCTCGGGTGGCACATTGCTGGATGAAAGTTGTGCCTAAGAATTCAAAGCACATCCGGTGCACATTTAAAGCACGTGACTTCCCCCTGGTTAACCTGGGGATGGCCGTTTCCCCCTCACAACTAAAATTCCCATAGCAAGCTATGGTTTTCCCAGGGTTCTTTGGAGGAAATTGCATGCCTTAAATGAGTATTGGATGTGCTTCAAGTGCATGGTGTACCTGTCATTTTACATCTGGGTGGTGATCTTTTAAATGGGCTTGGGAAATTGGCCATTCTGGTGTTACTGGAATCAGTCACCCATCAGTCCCAGCCAGCATAGCCAATAGCCAGGAATGACAGGAGCTGTAATCCCAGCAGGAGCTGCAGGGCACCAGGTTCCCCATTCTTTGTGTATTGGCTTGTTTGTTTACAGAGAGATTGGACAACATTTTCTTGTGACTTCCTTATTGCAAAACTAAAGCTAAAAACAATAGTTTTGGGGGAAGCAGGTTTGTTGCGCAAGAGCTACAAATCGCCTTTAATTGCAGAACTGGAATTTGACAGTATATAATTGAATCCCACCCGAAATTAGTGACGGTCTGGAAGCGCACTTTAGGGGCACAGGTCCGATTGACATTCTTCCTGTGGACTGGCATCTCGCTCCACGTTGATATCCACTTCCTAGCTACAACAGTACCAAAAGCAGTTGCACCTTAGAAGTGCGTTCCTTCTGCGTTTCCATTGCATTTCAGTTTGCACTGATTTTTAAGCTGATTTTGGGGACGGACGGTATGTGTGGACAGCATGTGCTCCGCCTCAGAGTACTTTAGCGCCTGTGAAACTTTCATCACCTTAGGGCTACCTTGTTTACCTGACCACAGGCATGCTGAAATTGTTATTCCTCGGCAGGTGCTATCCTCTTCCAGCCCTTTCATTTGTAGTGTTTGCGTAGGTGGACTAGATCAAAGGCTTTTAGATGTGGTTTTAAATAAACTTTTTTTTTTTACAAAAAAAAGTGTGAAAGGAGTTATAGCACTCTAAAGTTGTTTAAAATGTTTTTACTACCTGAGTGTAAACTTGTGTTTATAAGGGATCGTTTTTCATGGAAAGCGGGGGGGGGGGGGCTGTAGTTGCAAGTACGAGGCCCAGAGACAACATCTGTTCCTCAAGTGAAAATTTATTCAGAGTATGAACTCTTGAGTCCCTTGTCTCATACCCCCTTGCTGTGTAGATTTCAGGATGTTGCAGCTGAGGGGGAAAGAGGACCAAAGGATGGCATGGCACAGTATCAGGCCATGAGTCACTGCCAGAAGCATTATATCTCTGAATGCCAATTTCTGACAATCCCAAGTAAGGAAGACAGTGTTGTGTTCAGGTCCTGCCTGTCCGCTTTGCATTGGTATCAGGTTGGCCGCTGTGGAAGCAGAAAACCCAACAATATTTGGAGGGCCGTGAAGGGTAGGCAAGCCTCTCTCCCTGAACGTGCATCAGCCATAAAGATTTGGTGTGCATCTTGGAAGCTCTCAATATACATTGAAGACTGGACTGGCCTGGGGGAATTTCATAATCTGTTGTTAAATGATAGGTTGGGAAATGAAGCTGCATGCTGGATGACTTAGAAACTATGGGACTCAATGCCACAGGAGGCAATGATGGCCAACCACTTGGATGGTCGATGGTCTCCGGCAGGCTAGGGACAAAGGTGAAAGCTGTTTCCTAGTTCTGCTGGATCTTTCAGTGGGCTTTGATACCATCAAACATAACATCCTTCTGGACTGTCTACAGGGGTTGGGAGCTGGGGGCACTGTTATACAGTTGTTCCGCAACTTTCTCCTGGTACGTGTCCAGAAAGTGGTGTTGGAGGATGAGTGTTCAGACCCCTGGGCTCTCACTTGTGGGATGCCTCAGGGTTCTGTCCTCTCCCCCATGCTTTTCAACATCTGTATGAAGCCGCTGGGAGAGATCATCAGGGGGTTTGGGCTGGGTGTATGCAGATGACACCCAGCTCTACCTCTCTTTTAAATCAGAACCAGAGAGGACAGTGAAGGTCCTGTGTGAGTGCCTGGAGGCGGTTGGAGGATGGATGGTGGCTAACAGATTGAGGTTGAATCCTGACAAGACAGAAGTACTGTTCTTGGGGGACAGGGGGTAGGCTGGTGTGGAGGACTCCCTGGTCCTGAATGGGGTAACTTTGCCCCTGAAGGACCAGGTGCGCAGCCTGGGAGTCATTTTGGACTCACGGCTGTCCATGAAGGCGCAGGTCAATTCTGTGTCCAGGGCAGCTGTCTACCAGCTCCATCTGGTATACAGGCTGAGACCCTACCTGCCAGTGGACTGTCTTGTGTATGCTTCACTTGGACTACTGCAATGTGCTCTGCGTGGGGCTACCTTTGAAGGTGACTCGGAAACTGCAATTAATCCAGAATGTGGCAGCTAGACTGGTGACTGGGAGTGGCCACCAATACCATATAACACCGGTCCTGAAACACCTACATTGGCTCCCAGTATGTTTCTGACCAGCAGAGACATCACCTTGCCGACCAAGGTCCGTAGAGTTAAAGCTATTGTTTTCCCAGTAGTGATGTATAGAAGTGAGAGCTGGACCATAAAGAAGGCTGGTCGCCGAAGAATTGATGCTTTTGAGTTATGGTGCTGGAGGAGACTCTTGAGAGTCCCATGGACTGCAAGAAGATCAAACCTATCCATTCTTAAGGAAATCAGTCCTGAGTGCTCACTGGAAGGACAGGTCCTGAAGCTGAGGCTCCAATACTTTGGCCACCTCATGAGAAGAGAAGACTCCCTGGAAAAGACCCTGAAGTTGGGAAGATTGAGGGCACAAGGAGAAGGGGACGACAGAGGACGAGATGGTTGGATAGTGTTCTTGAAGCTACCAGCATGAGTTTGACCAAACTGCGGGAGGCAGTGGAAGACAGGAGTGCCTGGTGTGCTCTGGTCCATGGGGTCATGAAGAGTCGGACCACAACTAAACAGCAACAACAACGTTTCTGGGCACAATTCAGTGTGTTAGTGCTGACCTTTAAAGCCCTCAACGGCCTCGGTCCAGTATACCTGAAGGAGCGTCTCCACCCCCATTGTTCGGCCCAGACACTGAGGTCCAGCTCCGAGGGCCTTCTGGCTGTTCCCTCACTGCGAGAAGTGAGGTTACAGGGAACCAGGCAGAGGGCCTTCTCAGTAGTGGAACCTGCCCTGTGGAACACCCTCCTATCAGATGTCAATAAGCAACTATCTTACTTTTAGAATACCTCTGAAGGCAGCCCTGTTTAGGGAAGCTTTTAATGTGTAATGCTATATTGTGTTTTTAATATTCGGTTGGGAGCCGCCCAGAGTGGCTGGGGAAACCCAGCCAGATGGGCGGGGTATAAATAATAAATTGCTGTTGTTAGATGGCTTCAGAAGAAGATTGGACAGATTCATGGAGAGAGCTGTCAATGGGTACTAGCCATGATGGGCTGTGCTCTGCTTCCATAGACAGAAGCAGTCATGCTGATTAGCAGTTGCTGGAATCTGTTGGGGGGGAGACTGCTCTTGTGCCTGGGTCCTGCTTGCCAGTTTCCCACAAGCATCTAATTAAAAAAAAATCATTATCTGGTTTGCCCCTGTGAGAGAAGGATTCAGTGGGAGTAGGTTGTCCATTGGCTCCTCTTGTTGTGAAACATTCCTACGAGAAGTTCAAATACTCAAATTTGTTAAGCTTTCTGACTTGCCTTCCTTTCCCTTACAATATTTTCCTCCAGTATACTCATAATTTATAATTGTTATTCATAGAGGAGCTTTGGTTTCACCAGTTTGCAAAAATGGGAGACAAAAGTCCTCCAACTATCACAAAACCACATGTGCTCACCTGGGAATTTGTTTGGGGTAATCTTTGGACAATGTGATCCTGGCTTGTTAACTGACGTTAAGGCAGTGTTCCCTGCTTCAGTTATCTGGCTTAATACAAGCCAGGATCTTTGCACAACAACTGATCTATAACAGGAGAATGGGAAGGGCACTGCGGGAGGAGTCCCAGCTCCATAGCGTATGGAGCCTGGAATGATCACCTGAACTTGGTCACTGAGTGGTTAGTTATCCTGAAATCCAATAAGGCTGAGCACCTTTGTCCAGATGACATTCTGTTTTTCTCTTGGATAATGCAATTCTATATTTGTGTATTACAAAGAGCAGGCCTGGCCTTTGGCATTGTGTGGCATTATCTAAATTAGCCTTTATCTTTCTGTATTACCGTACTTAGGTGATACCGGCCAAGGAATAAGAGACTGGATCAAAGGAGTTTTGAGTCACGATTTGTCTTTCCAGCATATAAAAGTCATTTATCCAACAGCTCCTGCCAGGTATTTCTTTAATGTATTTTCATACTAGCCTTCCTTTATTCCCTTCTTTAAAAGCTGTTTGTTATTAAGGTTGTAAGTAATTGACATAAAAGTTTGCAGATATGTCCTAAGTTGAATTTGCAAAACTACTTTTCTCCAGATATGTTGTGACATTCGCATTTACCCCCAATGTGATGGAAAGTTGTAAGTAAGCTGTATACTGTGTTTATTTGATGACAGAGGTAGGCTTTGACTTCTGATATTTAACCCCTTAAAGGAGGAGGGCAGAACACTCCACCTCTGCTCTTCAATATGTACTGGGGTTCTCAATGAATTATCCCTCGGTATGAATAGCAATACAGGTTCCCTAGTTGATTGATAAATCCAGCATCCTCCATCTGGAAAAAAATCCTAGTGCCAAAGCCTCCAGCGAGCATATATGCAAGTGCTTTTTGAAGTGGAACAATAAAGCTTTTTATTCTTTTAAAAAAAGAAAACTAGAACAATTATTTCAGGATTTTGCAGTACATGTAATTGTGACTCCCCCCCCCACATGTGCACATGTGTATACTACCCCCTAGAAAAGAATAAAAAATAATGCTCAGTTTCTATATTTGTTTTTAAATAAATGGCTCTTGTTAGGATCTTTGGCTTCAGTGCTCGCAAATTGTCAACCCCATTCACATTTCCTGAGTTACCTGCAGTGAGTCTGATGGCACTGTTTCCCAGAGATTAGAGGAAACCTTTCTAAAGCCATTGTCCTTCCTCCCCCCCCCTCTCTCTCTTTATTTTTGGGCTCTAATGTACTGCCGCTGTTGAGACCTTTATTAATGATGCTGAAGAAGGCAAGTCCAATCAGGGTGAATGGCAGAAATAGCTTATGCAGCATAACACTCTGTGCGGTGTTTAGTTGGCTCTCGAAAGCTGTTTCTTTGACCCACTAATTAATTAATCTGAATTACTGGAATTAACCTGATTCCGTCTCCCTGGTGCCAGCAGGCCAGCTGTGCAACCCTAAGATTTGTTGTGCCACTAAGTCAATGATTAGCATATAGAGCGTGCCAATTGCAGCACAGGCATCAATTTGTGGGTGGGAATATTTTAGGTTTTGTGATGCCATGTTGCCAGGTCTGTGTGAAAAGTAGGCAGAGCCTTCTTTTTTCTTCCTTTTTTAAGCAACGCAACCACAACTCACTTTCAGCGACAAGGCCAGCATGGCAGAGTTTGCCTGGAAAACTCATCAACCAATGTGATAAACATCTGTGGGGAATACTTTTAAGTATAGGCTGTCTTCCCACAGTCAGAATTTGGTGTAAATCTGTGATTCCCAAACTGTGCTATGACAGGCATACTTTTGTGCTGCAACAGGAACTATAAGGTGCCTTGAAACATTAACGGAGAGTCTTGTGGCCCCTTAAGGACTAACAGATTGAAAATGGCGTACGCTTTTACGGACTACAATCTGCTTCATCAGATGCATAACATGTTACCCTCGTGTGTGTGTGTGTGTGTGTGTGTGTGTGTGATGTTATACACACATAAGAGCCTGCTGAACGAGGCCAGCAGCCCGTCTAGTTCTCACAATGGCCAATCAGAGACCACCAAGAGGCCAGCCACATACACACACAAACCATAGTGTAAATGGGAGTGTAAATAGTAGCATCAGAAGGAAAGGAAGAGAAGTCCAGCTGATAATAATAATAGTAGTAGTAGTAGTAGTAGTAGTAGTAGTAGTAGTATATTATTTATACCCCGCCCATCTGGGCCTCCCCAGCCACTCTGGGCGGCTTCCAACAGAACACTAAAATACAATAACCTATTAAACATTGAAAGCTTCCCTAAACAGGGCTGCCTTCAGATGTCTTCTAAAAGTTTGGTAGTTGTTTTTCTCTTTGACATCTGGTGGGAGGGCGTTCCACAAGGCGGGCGCCACTACCGAGAAGGCCTGGTTCCCTGTAACTTGGCTTCTCGCAGCGAGGGAACCGCCAGAAGGCCCTCGATGCTGGACCTCAGTGTCCGGGCAGAACGATGGGGGTGGAGACGCTCCTTCAGGTATACTGGGCCGAGGCCATTTAGGGCTTTAAAGGTCAGCACCAACACTTTGAATTGTGCTCGGAAACATACTGGGAGCCAGTGTAGGTCTTTCAAGACCGGTGTTATATGGTCTCATTCACAAAAAGCCGGCACTTGGTAACACAGGGATTCTAGCATGGGTAAGCCAATTAACACACGTATTGTGTCCATTGCGCTGATTCAGGCCACAAGTGATAGCATTGAAGGAGCCGCAAGACTCATGGGGTGGAGAATCACACTTTTCCATTCCTTCCTTCCATGCAAGCAATCCAGCCGGAACAACTTCCCCCTGCCCATGTACTGTTCTCAGGGTTCTCCTGTCGCTGGGTCCAAAAGCCTGCAAGGACATAGTGTGTTAGCCAGTGTTTACATCTGACATGAGGAAGTGTGCCCCACCCCCATTATCCCTGACCCACCCCTGGGATTGCTGGCTGCAGCTGATGGGAATTGATGGGTAAAAGCCTCAGCGCCTAGGGCTTGCCGATTGAAAGGTCGGCGGTTCGAATCCCTGTGGCGGGGTGCGCTCCCGCTGCTCGGTCCCAGCGCCTGCCAACCTAGCAGTTCGAAAGCACCTCCGAGTGCAAGTAGATAAATAGGGACCGCTTACTGGCGGGAAGGTAAACGGCGTTTCCGTGTGCTGCGCTGGCTCGCCAGATGCAGCTTTGTCACGCTGGCCACGTGACCCGGAAGTGTCTTCGGACAGCGCTGGCCCCCGGCCTCTTGAGTGAGATGGGCGCACAACCCCAGAGTCTGTCAAGACTGGCCCGTATGGGCAGGGGTACCTTTACCTTTACCTTTAACAACTTAAAGGGGAGCCTCCCCCCCTCTGGTTTGCATGCAGGAGGTAAATTTAAGGGATGTGTTTTTCGAAAGCAGAGTTCTAGAAGGTTCATAGTTGTGGCCAAACGATACTTTTGCAAACGCTGGCAAACTTACCAGCTGGGAATTATGGTTTGCATTTGCATGAGTCATTGAATTAAGGGAGATGTAGAAATAACAACTGCATCAACTTTCAGTGGTTAAATATAACTTCTAGCGTAATCAAAGACATGCTTACTCAGAAGCAAGCCCCACTATGTTTAGTGAGGCTTTTTTGCAGGTAAAACTGCATAAGATTGCAATCTTAATCCTTTTTGTCTTTTCATCATTGTGAGTAAATGTGCTGTAACTGAAGTCAGGGCTTTAAAAAATACCATGCGCTGCCACGTCTGTCCAAGTGGTTTTTAAAAGCAAACGGGGCAGACATAGCTGCAGATTTATGTTTCAGCTGCTGGAAGTGTGACTTAAGCATTTTGTGTCCTTTTGAATGTCTAAATTTGAACAAAATACTTTTCCTTTTTTTGTTGTTGCCTTTCTGTTCAATAGAAAGTGATAGTTTAAATTGGCATTGTAGCAGCTAACGTGGTCAAGTTAAAATTATGTCGTCTCCACTTTTTTGAAACAACTATGCCATACCTTTTTATGTTTCCCTTCAGCAAATCTAGGTCAAAGAATCTTTGCGTTATGTAGCATTTCCTTCTTGAAATTCTTCCCGCTGCAAATCCAGAGTTAACCTATCAGTAAACAGAGATACCCTACATGTGTTATTTTCAATAGCCAACAGATAACTTATGTGCTTTTTAGGATACATTTTGCAAAGAATTTTGATCTCTTTTCATTTGAGTAAATATTTGTGGAAAATGGCTTACAAACCAATGCAGACTCCCACCCACCCCACCTCGAGCTTCTCATAGGAGGTCCCTCGCTCCTTCTCTGGCCACGGTACAGAATCACTAATTAATAATAATAATTTTATTATTTGTGCCCCACCCATCTGGCTGGGTTTCCCCAGCCACTCTGGGCAGCTCCCAACAGAAGACTAAAAACAGAATAAAACTTCATATATTAAAAACTTCCCTAAACAGGGCTGCCTTCAGATGTCTTCTAAAAGTCAGATAGTTGTTTATTTCCTTGACATCTGTAGGGAGGGCGTTCCACAGGGCGGGTGCCACCACTGAGAAGGCCCTCTGCCTCGTTCCCTGTAACCTCACTTCTCAAAATGAGGGAACCGCCAGAAGGCCCTCGGCGCTGGACCTCAGTGTCCAGGCTGAATGATGGGGGTGAAGACGCTCCTTCAGGTAGACAGGGCCGAGGCCATTTAGGGCTTTAGAGGTCGGCACCAACACTAGTCAGTTTGGCCCTGTTTCAAGTATATTGGCAGCTACTTGTATAAAAAAAGCTACAGTAGCTTTTAAAAAATCATAACTGGGCTGAATCAGTAAAATTGTGTCGGCAAGATTCCAATGCATAGTACCCACCCAGATTCTCAAGCAAATATTTCATTAATTCCCATCTTTGTTCACCAACCTCCACCAACACAGTCTGGTCTGGATTGAGATCTTTATAGATGTCTACAAGGGAGTCAGGGGTTCCTGTACTTTGGTTCTGTTTTGCGGTGCCATCAATGAATCACAGGAGAAGTTCAAGTCTCTTTGCATTTCTTTTCTACTGGAGCTCTTTGCTTTTGGCAAATGGATGGTTTTTAGGCAGGCAGTGTTAGAGAGCTCACTTATAGGAGTTGTAGTCAAACACTTGGAGAGCTATGGGTTCTCAGCCAATTGAGGCAAAACCTATGCCCTGCTGGGCCCAGTTGTGCAAGATTTCACTAGAGACTTTAGAACTCTATATTGTGGGCACCGTAGAATTTGTCTCCTTATCCAGAAATGTGTTATTTCTCGTCACAACATCCAGGTAACCCCAAGAGGCAAGAACTATTTTCCTTGGTGTCTCTTTTGGAGGCTCCATTCATTTATGATTTTATTCAGTACTTTTATAACTGCAAGATCAAGTGATGACTTACATGTGTGAATGGACCATACAGAGAGAAAAACCCAACAGGTGATCATCCAAGTATACGGAAATCAAGTAGAGTGAAAAAAGAGCCGTGTTTACACCGATGTGTAAATCAGTTCTTCCAGGAGGAAGCTAGTAAAACTAGTGCCAGGTGTACCTGAATTCTTTCTCTTTGTCTTAGACATTGTAGTTTTTGCTTCTGGAGGATATGCAGTAAAGAGATTAAAATGATTGTAGTTGCACCAAGATTCCCCATGTGCAAGTACTGAGTCCTCCCTCCTTTCCTGGAGTCTTTTAGTTGCCCTTGGTTCAGGCATTCACAGTGTAATATTCGGTGGATTGCTAGCTTTTAATATTATAGATATGTTTATTGAAAAGTTTGGATGCCTAGATAGTCCCTGAGGAATTTTGGATGGCCAGCTTTATCCCTGCATAAATATAAACCTGAAATGCATTCTAGCTTATGCTTTAAAACCAATCCATTAAGATTTGCATCCTAAATTTTCTGAAAGTTTGGAGCCAAAGAAGTGATACAGGGGCAGGTTTAAAGTATATGGCTGTTTCTAGTAGAGGATGACTTCTTTTTTGTGTTAGAAATTATTTTAATCCCTTTTAATGATGTTTTGAGGTTTTGAAGTCGGCTTGGCTTTATAGCATATGGACATGGAAACTGGAAAACCTTACTGCAAAGCCTTAGGCGCAGATTCAGGAAAGTAATTAAGCATATGCATCCATCTTTGATGGGTGAAGAACTAAAATGGATGAGATCTTGGGCCAAGTGGTTAAATCAACTCGCGTTGAAATCGGGGACACTTTAAGCATTGTGTAACTTTGGTTGGGTTCTGCCCAGGGCTGATGGAAACAGAAGAAATTTCAGCAGACGGCATTTATTACAATGAAGAAGCAGAGCTGACATTTTTAGATTGTTATTTTTGCATGTGCACATACATTAATCTGCTCTTCAGAGTGGTAGTTGAAAACGCTGGCATCGGTGCTGATGGCGAATGCTTCTTTTGCCAATGGGATGAGAGCCAAGAGACGTCAGGAGCTAGTACCAGCGGATTAATCCACACAAAGAGGGACGTCAAGAAAAGAAAAGAAACCTCTTTGTTCTGTTGTTGAAGGAATGGCATCTTTACTATAGCCACGTCTACCCAGATTTAGCACACGCAGTTTGCAAGAAAAGGCTCTGCTGGCTGCTTCTTTTTAAAAAAATAATTAAAAGGTGCAGTGTTTGCTTCTCTGTACCACCTGACAGCCTAACTGCCCATTAGAATTAGGCTTCAGATCCACACTGTATCGTCCCTTACCTGACAAATGTTTTATTTTGCTGCTAAACTGGATTGATGGTCCTGGAACTAGGCTGGGTTCCAGAGCTTCTTGGAAGGAATGACCTACAAATTCTTCTTTCTGTTACACTTAAAAAAAAAAAAAAAGATGAGGGGGCAGCACCCCCTGTTTAAGCACGTGCATTTTGAGCTAAACCTTCTCTTGCATTCTGATTTAGAAGAGCAGATCATGTGCAAAAGGGTCAGGCAGGGTACCGTTAGCATTAATGGAGGCAAAGGATACAGACTTTTGGAGGAATGGCTGCACATGTTGAAAAGAACAGGGGAGCTCTATATGAAAAGGGGAGTTCCATATGTGCATTGTGGTAACTATGAGCCAGTTGCATTGGGTTAATGAAGATCAAATCACACACAGTGGTGTCAGCTCTTGGGTTAAAGTATTTATAAAGGTAAAGGGACCCCTGACCATTAGGTCCAGTCGTGGCCGACTCTGGGGTTGTGGCGCTCATCGCGCTTTACTGGCCGAGGGAGCCGGTGTACATCTTCCAGGTCATGTGGCCAGCATGACTAAGCCGCTTCTGGCGAACCAGAGCAGTGAATGGAAATGCCGTTTACCTTCCTGCCGGAGCAGTACCTATTTATCTACTTGCACTTTGACATGCTTTCAGACTGCTAGGTTGGCAGGAGCAGGGACCGAGCAACGGGAGCTCACCCCATCACGGTATTTATAAGTATAAGTATTTATAAGCCACCTTATAACACAGATTCCATACATTTAACATGGAATAGTTTCAGTCGCATGGAAATATGGGGATGGAAAGTTTGTAAACCATCTCCTTTAGTGGGAAATTGAACTGCAATTTCAAACCAAAGCCGTACCTGTAAGCTGTTACAAACCCCATAGTCAACAAGTATAAATTCTGGTACACCTGCAGTTCCTAAATCAGGCCACCAGTTGTCATTAAGGAGGAACCACATTTACAGATGTCGTTCAAGTCATCTATTGAAAATGTTAATCCAAAGGGATGCAGTCCCATATAGTAATGGACAATATGCACCATGTAGGGAGCGACCAAGGAAATAATGAACATGCACTGAAAAGTTGTATTTGTGATTCATTAGAATCTTTTATATGCCACCTTTAAAGCAGATGTTGCCAAGGGAGCATACAACAGAGCAATTTGAGGGGGGGGTTCTTTTTCCATAAGATTTTCTTGAAGCTTTTTCATGATATAATAAGATAAAATAAACTTATCTAAGTAAAAACAGAGAAAGAGAAAACAAAACAAAACAAAACAAAACATGGAGTCCTCTCTCAAAGAGATCTCTTGACTCTCGTCTCGCACAGAAAGTGGTAGACTCTCCCAGCTCTCACCTGGGAGCTTTCCCTTCTTCTCCCAAGTCTCTCAACCTGGGAGGTCTTCCCTTCCCTGTCTCTCACTCAGGATCCTTCCATCCATTCACCACCTTCATGTGCTGGTGTAATCCTTGGACCCCCAAGGATACAACATGGCAATTGGATATAATCTATGAAAACACATTACAGTTTTGCTATAAGCAGAAAGACATGGTACACTTGGGGCTCTTTTTAATCTCCTAGTTCTAAACTGAGAGAATCGCAGATACCTAGTCTCCAAAGCAACCCAACAATTCAATACGGTGGTGCTGATGGTTGGTTGATTTTATACACTGGTCTTAATGGTATCACACACAGATATACGCAGCTCCACTTACCGTATATCTCAATACTAGGGCTGTCTGTGGTCCAGATTACTGGAAGGGTTTAAAAAGCCAAATAAAGAATTTCTGCCGTATATTTTACATTCAAAGTAAATATGGTCTTGTTCGCCTTGTGGAAATCTCCATTAGGAACGTGATACAAACAGCAAGCTAAATCCACCTACTGTATTCATAGCTGTAAAGAGAACCTGAAGCCAAGTCTGGTCTGTGGCTCCATCCATTGGTCCAAGTTCTTGATGTTAAGTAAAGCTTACTATTCTACCTTAAATCTCAGGCTTTCCCCTTGACTGCCTTTTTCACTCTGTAAGATCTGATGAGTTGTAACAACGAACCAATCTAGGTACAATTGCTTGGGGCAATGGACTTCTTCTCTTATGCAGGCATCCCTTCTTGACATACATTCCCTCCAAATTACTAAGACAGCCACCTGTAATTTGAGCCTTACCTGGGTGGCTGAGTGACAGCCATCCATCACCACCCCCACCCTGGCACACATGGAGAGGCCCTAGGATGTAGCATGGCTTCCTGATTTCCATGGCTGTATATTACAGTTTTCTTCTTACACCTTTTTCATCGACTTTTCTTCCAGACCATATACACCGATGAGAGGGTCCTTGTCCAACGTGTGGCATGACAGATATAAGATCTCTAATGATTGCCCGGAACATATTGAAACCATTGACTCAATGTGTCAAGCACTTACGAGTTTGATTGATGACGAAGTTAAAAGCGGCACTGGAAAGAACAGGATACTCTTGGGTAAGATTTAGAGAGAAGAAAATATTTGACATTTGTAAGAGAGCTCATCCTGTGAGTGGAGCCAAACCGGGGAATGTGGTGAGTGGTTATAGAGGCTTTGAGCAGCCAAGGAATCCCTGAATGCTTAGGTAGGGGTTGTGCTAATGTCTTTTCGGTGCTATCTTCAGCCATTATAGTTGGAAGCAAGTTCTGTTTCACCAGAGTTCGTAACACGGAGGTTCTGTTGCAAAGAGGAGGCCCATCTGCTTCATTTGAGATGGGTCTTTTGAAGGAAACAGGACAGGCATATGCTCTCTCTTGACACCACCTGACATAGGTTTTCTTTGCATCCCAGTTGGGATAAGAAGCAGAGCAGTAGTTGGAACAGATTCCATCTTATTATCTGAAAAAGGGAAGTTCTGCTGTGCAGAACTCTGTTGAAAGAGCTAGCAACTGCACAAGAATAATGCTACTTTATTTGGAAAGCGCTCCAGGTTTTCCAGGCACAGTACATAAGTTAAGATTAAGAAAACAATGCTGTCCCTGACTGCAGGCTTAACCTCCTAATAGACATAATAAAAAAAGGGATAGGGAGGAATGAGATTCAACTGGATGGCCCATTTGCAAGCTGGTGCCCATGTGTTGGGTTTTCTTTGCTGCATGCAACACCACACTTGTGGGAGGAATGGGATGCTGTGCCTGGGAGGTGGTAGAAGCACTGCTTCTGATTCAGAGGAATTGTGGCAATGCAAGCCAGAAATATGTGAAAAGGCCTAAGTAAACACGCTGACTTTTCGTGGCTACAAAAGTTGAATTGTGTGATGGAATGGCCACTGAGCAAATTACTTCTGTGAAAAGGGGAGCTAAATGGCCGTTGTTCCCCACACAGCAGGTGGAGAGGGCAGCGCTAGCTGCCTTCTCCCATTCCTGCCATCATGGTCATCCCCTTCCACAGCTCCCAGTCAGTTTTGACGAGACTTGAGCAGGGCAACATCCTTGTGGATGTTGTTTTTTGGTTTTTTTCCAAGCAAACGCCACTAGCAGACCTAGCAAAGGACAGACAAGTGAGTCTTTAACATCACATGGCATTCTACCCTATTTCATTTATGAACTGCCCTCCGTTGCATTGCAATCCCAGAGCAGTTTCCAGTAAAATGGTTACAACACAATACAATCAGTACATCAGAATATTATTAAGGGGCTATCGAGGACTTTACCAGGGCTATCCCAGTGCTTTGGGGAAGGGATGATGAAGCAAAGTGAATGTTCCACCAGCGCAAGGATTTCTGCTTGAGCCACAGAACGTTCTCCCACTCCATGCCCCCTAAATTGGTTTGAAGGGAGCCCCCTAACCGTTTAGGGGAGCAGATTTGGGAAGGGTATGGGGCACGCAGAGGATGAAAGATGGGGAAAGTAAATCTTGGCACTGATGGGGCCTGTGGATAGAATACAGCCCATAGGGTGACAACATACCATGCCCTCTCTTCGTGTGTGATTTCTCACATGAGGAAAAAGTTCTCTTCAAATTTGAGTGAAATTGGTGTTGAGAGCACACCAATGAATAATCCAATATTGAGAAAAGTTGCTTTTAATGTGGGAATGTCTAAAATCCCATCCAGATGCCACCAAGATCCTGAACGATGGAGCCAAGATACTCCTTGCCTGTTTTCTTTCTGGATCTCGCCACTCCCTGCTCTTTGAAGGTCCCTGTTTGCCTTGCCTTGGTGGCTCCTTGCCCTGGCTTGTGGAAAATGGTCCACAGAGCCTGTTTGATCTGGTTTCGCCATTTTACCTGCTGACACTGAAGCATATGAAGAGGAGCAGGTGTCTTCCATAGGACCAGCTGGGAGGGCAGCTACACACAGCACATTGCACCGAGGCCCAGAAAAACAAGGTCTTGGAGGGGGCTCTTCTGGAGAGACATTTTCTGTCTGGAAATTCACTTTTGGGAGAATATGTTTTTGCGTGGAACCGCTCTGCTTCACAGAGATGGCTGAGCTGACTGGTGGCTGCCCAAGGAAAACTTCCTTTTGAGCTATTTAAAAAGAGCAGGTGAATTACCACACCATTTTTAAAAATAAGAATAAAGTAATGCAGTGAGTACATCTTGTATCTTAAGATCTCATCTTTTTTTTACATAAGTGATAAAATAATAACTCTGTAATTCAACTGGTAAGCATCATTTCAATAACTCGACTAGAGCCAAGCTTTCTCTTGGTTTAATAATTGTCACTTTTTCCATTTTCAACAACCTGCCAGTTTTTAAGCATCATTTCTTTTTTGTCTATTTAAATACGTTACGCTAATGCACATTAAGTTCATTGTCTGTGCACATGGTGAACAAACCATAGCTCAAAGCTGAGCACATGCTTTGAGTGCAGAAGGTCTTAGGTTCAACCCCTGACACCCACGGTTTGTTTGCATTTTCAAAGGATCACAAAGTAGTTGTCACGAAAGACCTCTGAGACCCCAGAGATCTGCTCCTAGTCAGAGAAGAATATAAGAATACAGTGGTACCTCAGGTTACATACGCTTCAGGTTACAGACTCCGCTAACCCAGAAATAGTGCTTCAGGTTAAGAACTTTGCTTCAGGATGAGAACAGAAATCGTGCTCCGGCGGTGCGGCAGCAGCAGGAGGCCCCATTAGCTAAAGTGGTGCTTCAGGTTAAGAACAGTTTCAGGTTAAGTACGGGACCTCCGGAACGAATTAAGTACTTAACCTGAGGTACCACTGTACACTGGACAATAGATGAGCAGATAGTCTCATCTTTGTGCATACCAAGTCATAGGTTTAAAGGCCCCGTTCCAAATACATCATGGGCAACTAGTTACTCTTAATAACTGATGGCCCTGGATATGACTATTGGTTGGTTAATCGGTTGGAATGTTCCCTAGTGTTTCTTGGTTTGTTTTCTTTTTGTTTACCTAGGTATTTAGAGATTTTAAGTTTGGCCTCACTGTAGTTTTGCTTGTTTCAATTATGTAAGAATTGTTAAAAGGGTTGTTTCTTGGATCTGTTGCTATGATTTTGTTATTTTTGTATATTGCATTTTCTCGGTTCATCTTTATTACTTTGTTCCCCATTCCGGGAAAATATTCCATTGTGGCTCACCAGATATTACTGAACGCCCATCATCCCTGACCATTGGCCATGCTAGATGGGGCTGACGGGAGTTGGAGTCCAACAACATTTGAAAGGCCACAAATTCCCTATCTCCATTTGTGTCACATATATTGCAGGATCGGGTGCAAGCTGCAATTTTTACCTCTGCTGTACTGGAAGTGGAGTAAAACCATATATGATTTTTAGCTTTCTCTCTCGAAGTCTTCGCTTCCTCTCTTGTAGTTTTCTCAAGACCGTTTTTTCTCTCTCCCTTATTTCTTCCTTCTACGAGTTTGGTACGCCACAGAAATGCTGATCCAAGCCAATGGGTTCCTGCCACCTGTAGTCACTTTCATAAGCAGCCAATGAAAATAAACCTTCTGTGACAGAGCCGTAGACTCGACAGAATGCCAAGGAATACATGCATGCTTTTTGACCCCTTGTTTCATTACAATAACACAGGACACACAACTACTTTCTTGTTGATTGCTAGGCTTCTTCCGTAGCTACTGAGCCATGGGAGAAGGAATATGAAAGTTGCCGTGTTTCCTATAAATATTGGCATATTCATTGGCTTCTGGGTCTGGACAGGATGACGAAGAAGAATGAGAAAGGGTACTGTCAGTTACTGAATAACACCCTGCACTGAACTTGTTGAAATAACTTGACTGGGGCAACTGCTCTGCTTAGCTGTTCTGTGCCAAATGCCCCCATTATGTTATGTGTGGCCAATTTCAGACTTAAATGGCAACCACTGTATTTCTGCTGCAAGTGTATGCACAGTAAACTTGCTCACTTCAGTAAGATTTAAGCAGCATCACTGTGCTAGGATTGTAGTCACAGCCAAGTTTCGAGGCACCATGCTCTGTTGTTTTTTGCCACAGGCAACTTACCATATATAACTGATTAAACAAACCTTGTATGTCTCAGTCTGTATGGTATTACAGTGACGTCATTGGACAGAGATATTTTGTCCATCCAGTGAAGTGTTATTGTTAGAGAGGTAAGAGAATTTTGTTTGGTCCACAACACATTTTTTTAGAAGAAGGCTTCTCCTGATGTGTAATGCAATCATTTAAGGAATATCAATTTTATTTATGATGAAATTGTTTTGCTGGTTTTGGAACTTGTAGGGATGGTTTTCTTGTGTTTCAGGGTGTGTTGAATTGATTTGATTGTGTTCAGAGCTTGTGTTTTTCTGTTTTATTATGTTTTTTGATTGTTCACTGCATTGATGGCTTTATGCTGTAAAGTGGGCTGTCAATTTGTTTAATAATAAGAAGCAAACTGATCTAATATGCAGTTCCTGGACTAATATATACACTGATCAGAATGTAATTATCCTTAATATACCACGTAATGACCAGAAGCCACTTGGGCATTAAGTAGCAAATACATACATCTCCAAATTTTGCAATAGAGCTCATGGCTCCAAACAAACAAACAAACAAACAAACAAACAAACAAACAAACAGAAACCCTTAGCAAAATACATAACAAATGTGAGTTTATTGGGTGGGAAAACATTTAGCAATGAGTGCATTGAGATAACCTGTGATAACCTGTGTATTGAAAAGCAACTTTAAGAATTACTTTTAAAACGCTATAGATTTCTGCAGAAACAGTATGAAATGGACTTAAAAATGAAACATACAAAATTGACACTGACAAGTCCATTTCATACATTCCTAGATATTGAAATATACACTTTATTTTTAGATTTCATTTTAGACATTGAAAATTGGCCCCAAAACTCCCTAGTTATGACTGTGCCATCCGTATTATGCTCAACACGAGCTTATGCAGGACTAGTGCAGGTTTTCGTGGTAAGAATGGTGCTTTGAAATCACAGCATTTTCCCTTCAATGAAACCCACTGTTTCCAGACCAGGGGCCTGCAAAGCTTTCCCTCTCCACAATTCTCCTGGAGACCATGTTTTTCTGAGTAATAAACTGCAGGCTTCCCCCTACAAAGCCAAATTTCAACAAACCAACTTCTGGCATTCAGGTTTTTTCCTGAATAGCAGGAACCACATGAAAGCCTTAAGCTTTTCTGTCCTCACAGAAGGTGACTGCATTATCAGGCGCTGCCAGTGAGTAATTCCAGGTTGCTTTGTGAGCTCCAGTGTAAGTGAATTTTAAAAAGAAAAGAAATGGAGAGAGAGAAGTTGTGATCCTGCATACACTTAGCTTAGAGCCAGGCCAATTGATATCAAGGGGGACTTAATTCTGAATACACATGCAAAGGATTCTGCTGCAAATCATTTCCAAATTCAGAGCAAGGTTTCCATGTGCTCCATGTTGCCTCTGAATTCTGAAACATTTAGTTTTATGTATGCACCCTATGCACCAGCGTCTGACCATAAATATGCATCTATTAATACAGAGCGAAACTTGTCCACTGTATTTTTACAAGTGTTGCGGTGATGGCATCATTCACTGGAGGGCATAAGGAAATAAGTAGAGGACTCGTGAGCAGTTATTTCTTTTTGAAAAAAGGGCAAAGTGTGTAATAGTCGTTCATACCTACGTTTTCATAGCAGACCTGTTCTTTCAGAAGATACCTGGAGATTTTGTACTACAGCCTTCATGAGACAAATGGGAAGCAGTTTTGGGGGGATTTTTTGTTGCAATCCCTGTATGTTTACCTGAGAGTAAGTTCTGTTGAACTCCGTGGGATTTATTTCCACATATAAGTGCACAAGATTGCACTTTTACACTGCAGATCTTTGTATATTTGCCATAGTGGGTGCCACTTCTTTGGGCTCCCATGATTTCAAGTCATGGGCTTGAAAGGGTTGGTTTTTTCGTCCTGCTGCTTTTCCCCGGGGAAACCTGCTGTTTACCTCTTTAGGTTTTCTGCAGATTGACGTCCGTTCTGATCCAGCAGTAAACCGCCGGCTTTCCCAGGGAAAGTAGTGGAGCAAACGAATATCCTCTCAGACTTGTGCCTAGAACCCATGAGACAAGCAGTATAAAACACTGACCACACGGAAGTGTGGATGAACCCTCAGTAAGCCTCCGTAGAATTGCACTGCTAGATTCCGGTTTGGTCTTCATACTTCACCATGACATGGAAGGGAATTTGTGGCCATCCAGAGGTTGACTCAAACTCCCATCATCCCTGACCATTGACCATGCTGGCTGTGGCTGATGGGAATTGGAGTCTAGCGACATCTAAAAGATCACATTTCCCCCTTCTCATGCTTTGAGAAGCCACAAAAAAGAGGGGGCACCAAGTAAACCAGAAGTCTAATTGATTTGTCTAAAAGTATGAGTAGTCCCTTGGAATCCCTGTGCAACAGTCCTTATATACAGTGAAATATATTGTGGGGTAGAGAATGGTTAAAAATCATAAGTATTCATCGCAGTCAATATGGACTGGGCTGCACAGACATTTGGCGGGCATTGTTTCTTTGTGAACAAAGGTACAGTCTATACAACTTGATTAAGTTTTAGCTTGCTCAAACATATTTCCTACAAGGTACTGAAAAGCAGAAAGTCATCACTGAAAGCATTTCCGATAGTTTCTCAGAGCTCTGAATGTTTGCTTTAACGTTGTTTCCCCCCTTAAAAATCCATAGGTGGTTTTTCAATGGGAGGAGGCATGGCAATGCACTTAGCCTATAGGTACCACCAAGATGTAGCTGGAGTGTTTGCTCTTTCGAGCTTCCTCAGCAAGACCTCTGCTGTTTACCAGGTGGGTACCGAACTCTTTGCTAACTGTTTCTCCCATTGTGGCCATTTAAAATCTCAGAAGGTTGTGCCAGAGTGTAACCGCCCCCACCCCCAATTAAGTGGCAGGGAACCCGTACACTCCCTTTTCAATATATTTTAGTTTAGCAAAGATAATGATTACTCAGTGGTCTCAACTTTAAAGCTAAGATCTCTGATACACTTTACTAATCACAGTAAACAGTGACGGGCTTAGATGGACCAATGGTCTGAAGGTAGAAAGCAGTGGGCAATTGCTTATTGATCTTTCTGCAGTTCCTTACACTTGCTGGATATTCCATGCACTCACTAATCTAGGTGGATCACTGGGTATCTACTGTAAAATATCTCCCTTCACTTCTCTATTGTGGTAACAGCACAGATGTCTCCTTTGTTAACAGGCGCTGAAGAAAATTGAAAGGGAACCACCAGAGTTATTTCAGTGCCATGGAACTGCTGATGAACTGGTTCTGTATTCGTGGGGTGAAGAAACCAACAAGATGTTGAAATCCCTGGGAGTAGCGACTACGTTTCTGAGCTTGCCAAACCTTTACCATGAACTAAACAAAAGTGAGCTGGACAAACTGCAAGCTTGGATTTTGAAGAAATTGCCAGAGTAACCATGAACAATAAATGACAGTATATATAGAAAAGAAATGCCATGGAATTTTCTGTGCTCTGTGGCTTTCAACCATGTAATATGATTATTTCCTATTAATAGACATAATTCATTTTTTCACAGATATTCAAATGAAAATATTAAAAACTCACAGAAAAGTAAGTTGCCATAAATTTCTTGAGTTTTATCTGTTTAATTTCCCAGGTCCTGGTTGTGCATATCACGATTTGTATATCTATTAAACAGGATGAAATAGAATTATCAAGCACTAGCAGGATCCCATCTCAATATGATGGGTAGCCTGCAAAGTCCAGAAACTTGGCTTGGTGGCTCTGTGGTCTAAACCACTGAGCCTCTTAGGCTTGCCGATCAGAAGGTCGGCAGTTCGAATCCCCACGACGGGGTGAGCTCCCATTGCTCTGTCCCAGCTCCTGCCAACCTAGCAGTTCGAAAGCACACTAGTGGAAGTAGATAAATAGGTACCACTGCGGCAGGAAGGTGAACAGCATTTCCGTGTGCACGTTGTGGTTCCGTTGTGCCAGATGAGGATTAGTCATGCTGACCACATGACCCGGAAAACTGTCTGTGGACAAACGCCAGCACCCTCATCCTGAAAGTGAGATGAGCAATGTACCCTATAGTCGCCCGTGACTGGACTTAACTGTCCAGGGGTCCTTTACCTTACTGTATATATGAATTGTTTTTATTACTAATGGTAGCAGGCTGGTTTAGACGATTATGTCACAGGTAAATAATTATTTAACAGAACACACAAACACAATTCAAACAGATCTTCAAGCTCACTTTAAAAACAGTTTGCCATGGAGCATGGGGCAGGTATTGAACAAGCTTTTTGGAGTATTGAAATAGTTTTGATCCTGACCTAAATCTCCCAGGTTGCAATCCTATGCAAAGCAGTTGGGCTTTGTTCTGTGCATAGATTTGCAGAGGATTGCATTCTGCCAAAATGGACTTGTGAAATCCATTGATCCTGAAGCTTGCTGAAATTGTTTTCTAAATATGTTGTATGCTTTTTCTCCATGAACTGAAGCTGAAAGAGAGGGAGCCACTTTCATACAACTTTTCAGTGATCACTTCAGAACCCAGCAAAAGTTCATTCAGAAGCACAATAAATAATTAGTCAATGTCCTTTACTGTTTAAAAGTAACTTCTTTTTTTCTAGGGGCCTTTTTTAAACCAATATATCATGTAGCCTCTCATTTCGGTCTTTAAGAGTTGAAGGCCGTTTGGCAAATCTAAATGAAACAAATGAGTGGGCTTAAGCCGTCCGTTTCATGATACCTTCTGGAGCTGCCACTTACGTTGGCAAGGTACATAATTCAGCAAGCAAATGAAAACAGCTTCAAATTAGGCTTGAATTCTCCTGGGCTCTGTAAAGGTTTTCTGTTCTGCTTGGAAACAAAGTTTGGTGGTAGTTGGTTTTTTTTTCTTTAAAAAAAAAATCTTCCACCATTATAGATTGTTTTTAAAAGAGGGCTGCAATTCATGAATAGATTAGTGCTTTGAACAGCAATGCTTCCTAACTAATTGACTTGTGGCTGCAGACAGCTGGAGCCAGAGAACAATTACAGGCAAGACTGAAACCAGCTGATCAAGCCTAAAATTATTGGTAACAAAACTGGAATGCCCAAGAGGTTGTGGAGTTAAATTAGTCTCCCCTATTAAACCATCTGACAGTCAAGTGGTTTTAAAAGAAAGAACGGAAATAGACCTTGGATCCTTTAATAACTTCATTCAGGGAAGGAAAAGGATGGGGGGAGAGCTGGATTTGTGGATTGAAGCGAGAGATGTATGAAAAAGACTGGATGTGCTTGAGCTAATTAATTTATTAAAGTGGGGTGGGGTGGGCGGTTTCTATCAGTTTGAACCACCCTGCAAGAGATGCAGTTAAAACAAACAACATCAAGTCAGTATTTATTTAGTATATTTCTAACTTGTCCTTTATGGTTAAGATTACAGGGTAGGCTATGATGCAAATTACAACTGCAAAGGTGTTTAGACACTACAATGAATCAGCCATAAACCGATTTACAAAAAGAACAGATCAAAAGAAGAGTATGAACTTTAACATTACAAAATTCATGCAGACCCTGTGAACTGCCTATGTGGGTGACTTACTCCCTCGTATTTATTGATTTACCCCGTATTTATTAATTTACCAAGCACCAGCTAAGGAGGCCAGCCTCTGGGAAGCCAACAGGCCAGGCACGATGGCAGCGGCCCACTCCCCTGTCCTTGCCTGCAACTGGTGTTAGCATGCAGTCTGTGAATCCACAGGTCCCATAAAGCCTAGCCAGCATGACTGTTAGTCATTATCCTCCGTGAATTTCTCTAATCCCCTTTTAAGCTAATGGTTACCATCATATCTTGTAGCAGTGAATTCTATGCATTACTATGTAGAGAAAGAGATGTGGAAGAAGAGATGTGAGGAAAAGGGAGGCAGAAGAGGGGATGGGGTATATCTGCGTTTCTGTCCTTCTGTAACCAATATGGCACTCTCCACGGACAATAGGGTTGCCATATTTCAAAAATTGAAAATCCAGATAGTTGTTGAGCACTTTTTTTGGCAAACTTGTTGAGCTTTTCTGGCAAAATCTCAATAAAATAAAATGAGTTTTTGAGCTATTTTTATTTTCTTTGACCTCTTCCAACATGGGCTACTATACATCCGGATTTTCCCAGACATTTCTGCAATTTCCACCCTGAAATATCAATGAAAATCCTTACGTATGGCAACCCTAAATTGTACAATAGAGAGGAACTGGCAGGCTAAGCTCCAGGACTTGCAGGGCAAAACATCTGGAGGTTTTTGGGGGGAGGGGGGACCTATGGAGTTAAAACCAGGGCTTTTTTTTCAGCTGGAACTCAGAAGAACTCAGTTCTGGCACCTCTCAGGTGGGCACCATTGCCATTCTAAGAGAACGAGGAAGGTGTTCCTGGTGAGTTTCTAGAAAAATAGCACTGGTTAAAACCCTACAAAATAGCTCTGTGGGCCTGGAACACTCATTGACTGAAGGAAAGTAGAGGACAGGCTTTTTTGTTACTTATTTTTACATATATATCTCACCTTTTCCTTGAAGGAGCTTAAGGTGGCATGCACAGTTCTCCTGCTTCTCCATTTCATTCTTGGTAAGGCTGAGAGGCAATGACTGGCCAAAGGTCACCAGGGAGCTTCATGGCCATGTGGGGATTTCACCCCTGGTCTCCCAAGTCTTAGTCCAGCATCCCAGCATCACACTGTCTCTCTTAACTCACTCCTCAGCCCTACACCCCACTGGGATTGGGGTTGGAATGGAGTATCCTGGAACAGAGCATGGCTGGCAGCTCAAAATACTGAGCAGACCCCTCTTGTGCCCCATTAGCTAGCCAAATGTTGTTTGTCTTGGTCTAGTTTTTGAACTTATTTCAACCAAAGCAGGATGGTACGATGGGTTCACCACGTAGGGAATTTTTTTTAACAAGGTACTCACTCTGTTTGTGTTACATAACTGAGTGTTGACTTACCTCCAGAAGTCGGAGCCGTGTTGATGATACAACGATGATATCAGAATTATTCCAAAGGCCAAAACACATTTGTGCTGACAAAAAGTGAAAAAGAAAAGATGATAGGCAAACCTTCTGTAAATGCCTCATGAAATCATCCTTGGCTCTTTCTCGGTTCATTTTTTCTTTTTTTAAAGAAAGAAGAAAGAGGATGCTTCTGTAAGCAAAATATGAAAGCTTCTAAAGGGCTGGCTGGGCTGCCTTGAGAATGGCAAGCTTTTCCTTGCTGTGAAAACAAATGTTCTGAAAGTGTCTTTGATTAATGCCAGACTATTGCCATCTCTAATCTTCTTCATATGGTAGGGAAGAACTTGTGATCTTGTCGTCAGGGCTACATTACCGCATTTGTTATGATCGCTGTAGGTAATTCATAAATGGCTCTTGCTTTTCATATTGAAAACTCATTTTTCAGGTTGTTCGTTCAAATTATGAAGTAATAAGTCAACCTAATCAAACCATTACACAGGAAGATGCAGGGCAGAAGACAGCAGAATCTGCCCAGCTGGCTTAACTGAAATTGCATCTTTCACCGCTGATTTCAGGCATATTTTCCATTGCCTGTCCACTCTGGAAACCAGAGAGCATCTCAGAACCTCTGACATCACTTTATGGATTTTGCAAAAATGCACATTTCCAAATCACCTTTCACAGTTTGCGCTTGCAGGATAAGTAGATGCAAATAGGCAGATTCATGCATGCACACAGTCTCAACCATTCCATCACAAAAATTGGGTAAATTGTTGCATTCTATGTTCTTCACCTATCTAATTGTGAAATTTCTCATCCCCAGCAGAACAGATACAAGGGAGGATCTTCTTCTTGGCCAGCGCCACAATAGGAAGAATATTAAAGCACCTCTTTCACTCACGATAGTGTTGTGTTTTAAAAGTGAGGTATATTGAGTTAAATTTCAAATGGGAACCAGTGTTTCAGAGAAGCCCCTGATGGCCTGCTTGTGTAAAATGGGTGGCTCTGATTACAGAAAATCTACAGAAAGACTCTGTTGCTGCTGCAGGAACTTGCTGCTGAACTGCCATCTCATAATAAAAATGGACTGAACAAATGTACAGTGGCTGATGTAGTACATAGAAGTAGGCACTTCCCAACTATAATAAAAAAGGTCTGTTTGTCCACTAGCCCCTCCCAGCAATGAGCTCATTCAATCCGCAGGAGAGCGAGATTCTAGGATTCTTATCCCTGCTTGGACAGTTAAGGTATCGTAGGGGCACCCTAGGAAAGTTCAACCTGAAAGCAATGGTTTAAAATGTTGGCTAAGAAATGGGAAGACTTAAGTTTCAAATCTCCACTCATTCATGAAATTTCCTGGGAAACCTTGGATGAGTCAATACCTCACAGCGTAGCCTGCTGCATTGGTTTGCTGGGAGGATACAATGGGAGTGAGAAACACAACCATATATACTATCCAGACTAAAGATTGGATGAATCTGTTGTTTTTGGTTTTTCTCAATTTCATCTAAGCTTGGTTTCCCCCACTTCTGCATATATTTGCAACTGTACGTGCATGCTTCTCCCGATATACCCATTTTTGCATGCAATTTTGCTTCAAATATGGATTTTTGCAAACAATTTCCCACTAA